TATAGCTAACTAACAAAACCTGTGTGGCAAATCTGCGCAACACACTGCAGCGCGGCGGAATGTATTGTAGTGAAGCACAGACCACTATCAATTTATGTGAACATACAGTCATAACTTTTGTTTTAGACAATACACTGCGTTTTAGACAAAGGAGGAACTTAAATAATATGACATATATGAAAAGAAATGACTGTGTAATTTACCTTCACAGCACTTCTATTTTTTTTTTCTTTTTTGAGTTTTATTCATAGAGCACTTTCCGATTTTCAGTTTTTTATTTATTTATTATTATTATTTTTTTTTTTTTACCTTTTACCTTTTGTATGTCATCTTTAATGCTAAATTCTTACATCAAATAAATTGGAATAATATGACTTATACAACATTTTTAATACAGAAATATGAATAAAATGAAATGATACTTGAATTATGAAAGTAATATCACCACTAGGTGGCGGTAAGTCACTGTGTTAATTAAGGAGCCTTTTATTCAGTCAATTCGTTCAAAATGCTTCATTTCAGTTTATTGTCTAAAACTACCTATGTTCACATAAATTAATAGTGGTCTGTGCTTGTCTACAATACATTCTTCCCCTGTGCATCGCGCAGCTTTGCCACACAGATTTTAAGGTGGTTAGCTATAATAATTCAGGCGGTGTGCCAAAGATGTAGGCTAGTAGGTAGTTGTGAGTGCAGGTGCGAAGTAAATAAATATTTATGAGATAAACTAATATTTCACGGATAGGTTGCAGAATTTATGCCTACACAAAAGAAAGCTCTGTCTCAATACGGTTTGTGTCAAACCATTCATTAATCTGGCTGTTTGATGAAGGGAAAGAGTTTAAATGTAGTAGAAATAAACGCGTTAACAATCCATAGAGGCGGAGGACTCTTATTATGGTTTTTTTTAGGACTATTAAATGTTTGGTTGACCAATCAGCGGAGAGGGGCGTTTCATTCCCGCCCACATGTAGAGATCGAATATTCAAGTTGCTTATTCGTTTTCTATCCCTGAACG